TTCCTTCCTTCCTTCCTTCCTTCCTCCCTTCCCTTCCCTTCCCTTCCTTTCCTTTCCTTTCCTTTTTCATCTCCTCCCTCCCTACTGCTCCTACTCTCTGTTTGCCCCCATCTGTGTCCCCTCCCTCCCTCTCCCCAGCAGCTCAAGCAACCATTGGCTTTTTGTCTCGTGGCTGGGATGGTAAAATGCTTCGAGAAGACCTTAGCAGGAAGAAGTAACAGCACAGCAGAGAGGGAAGTGCTTTAAAACATTTGCAAACATGGATACAACGGTGCGACACTGTGGGGAAGACATTTTCCTTAGGACTTCAGAAAGCGCGGGTATCTGCTCCAGATAAAGCCATCACTGCTTGCACTGAAGGTGACTGGAGTCAGTAATGAGGCACCCTTATTTATGCCAATGCTGGGCTGCAGCACTCTCAGTGCTGCTTAGCAGAGAGCCAAGGCAATAATCCAGGACACTTAATTGCACTGTTTTCCTCTTGTGTTGCAAAGACAGGCCCAGTGCCAGGCTCGGCGAGCCTTCTCATTCCCCCTGCACTAGAGAGCTCTGCTTAAGATTCATCCAAATCCTGTTCTACCTGTCTGAGCACCAGTCCCTTTTAAGAGGGCCTTGGAGGGTGTAGACCCTGATGTTGCAAATAATGTTTTGTTGCAAAACAAATTGCCGGATGTGGGTCCCTGCAAGGGAGTGAGATTAATAGCTGGCAAAGTCCTTGTGCATGGTTCATGTGCAAACTCTATTAGCAAGGCTAATTCCCCTCAGGCAGCAGGGGTAGGCCAACGCCTCTCTGCATGCCCAGATAAACTGGAGAAAATACCTGCTGAAATTCAGTGTCGCCTCAGGCTTGCTTTACTTTGTAGCATTTCTCTTCCCCTCCCCAACTCTGAGAGGACAGGAAGCAACCCCTCCCAAATGTTCTGCATGCTGAACGCAGGCTGATAATATTCAGTCACATTTCCATCCAACTCTGTCTCCATTTGCATTCTTTCCAGCATTCTCCTGTGAATTATATGAATTTTAAAAACCTAACTGGAAAGAAAAAAGAGAGAGAGAGACATGGCCTAACCTGAATCAGTTGCTTATATTTTGCTGTTGGATTATGGAATCTAAGCTTGTGCTACTAAATATCAGGGCATTCAGATATCTGCCCTAGGGCATCTAAAATACAGGTGGTCCTTGGTTATTGACCTCTCATTCAGCAACCATTCACACTTGCGACAGCACTGAACGAATGGTACTTACGACTGGTTCTTGGAGTTCCAGCTATTGCAGTGATCATGTGATTGTGATCTGGGTGCTTGGCACCTGGCTCATGATTACAACATTGCAGCATCCCACGATCATGTGGTTGCCATTTGTGACCTTCTTTGCCAGCTTCCGACAAGCACAGTCAATGGGGAAGCCAGCAGGAGGTTGCAAATGGTGACCATGTGACATCCCTGTTTAACGACCTGTGGTGATTCACTTAACAACAGCAACTGGGGCTGCTGGAATTTCTGTCACTAAGCAGCATGGTCGTGTGACATCACACTTTACAACTGTGTCGTTTAGTGTCAGCAATTCTGGTCCCAATTACCATCGTTAACAAGGACTACCTGTAGAGGAAAAAACTCCTTCAAGCCAAGATTTACTTCTGGTGTCTACTTGGGCATGTCCATGGTGTTTTCTTGGCAACAGTACAGAAGTTATCTGCATTGTCTCTTTCCAGAATGTCTTTTCATCTTCTTATTCTAGCCTAGGATTCCTTAGTAGTTTCCTACCTAGAAGAAAATGGGCCGGACCCTGCTTAGCTTTTTTCAAGATCAGCTAAAGCCAGCTATAAGCTTTTATTTCTATCTTCACTAACCAGGAATAGGGGCAAATAGAAGCCAAGGTAAAAACATAATGGAGAATTGAGGAAAAGGGCCTCCAAGCATGTGATCAGTAACTTAGCCAAATGGGCAACTACTTACACAACAATCCATTTCTGGATTTCCTCCAAGCACTCTTTTTCAATGGCTTTAGTAGGGGAAGGAATGTGTTTAATTGTTAACAACTGGGAAGTTGGAACCCCTGCTTATACAATGTACAATGTACTTCCAACTCTGCTGATGAATATCTCCAAGTACGGACAGGTGCCCATCCCAGAGAAGTAGATCATTCATTTCTGGGCCAGGGAGCTCCTGAGAAAGCTCCCCTTTCTCCCTTGTTGTAAATGAAAAGGGCTAAATAGTCATCTCTATCTTCCCACCAGACTTTCTGAGATTTGCACTGGTGATTTCTGAGACCTGCACATAATGCAGAACCAGTTCCCAGGAGTGCAGATGCAGATTCTGTACTACTTGCATGCATTTACTTTGCTTCTGATCTTTGTCCTTTGCTAGGATCGCTCCAGACACTACACCTGTCATGGGCCTGGACAACCAGAAGATGGCAGCAAGGAAGTACAGAAACCCCTTACTCTTTGCTGTCATCTAGTAGTCATCCCAATTTTTGCAGCACATATCTGGGAGCCATAGTCAATGATAACCTTAAACAATTTTCTTTCTTCACCCTACAAGGCACACACAACATATTTCCCTCCAGCAGCAATACACAACTTTCTGCCCTTCCTTAGCTATTTGCTGGGTAGGATGAAAGAAGTCAGGGCAGTTTACTTACCGTGACTGTTTTTATTCGTCCCAGCTGCCTAGTACAACTCCAGCCAGAACGATTTATTAATAAAGTGCATTGCTCGCCTTCGTCACAGGGCTCCATCCCACACCACTGTTTGCTAACAATGATCTGGGCTGCCGGACACCAGCAGGTATGTCAAAGAAGAAGGAAATGTTGAAGATGAGAAAGGGAAAGAAAAGAAAAAGCAAAGAAAATTAGGTACACATTTACAGGAATTATCAATAAAACATGAGACTTAAAGCCTTATCATTCATTTTACAGTGCAAACATCCAGCTAAGCCAAGTAAGGAATGTGGCTTAGAGAAATCTGGGAACTGTAGTCGGAAAACATTTGGATGACACCAAATTTGGGAAAGCTGGCTTAAGCTCTCATCCTTCCATACAAGACTTTCTGGTCCCTGCACCAAGCCCCTCACCCCCTCCACATCTGGGAAAGGATGTCCTGAGATGGAGCTAGAATGAGTAGACTATGTCTGGCTGGGGAATTCTGCGAGTTGAAGTCCACACATCTTCAAGTGGCCAAGATTGCAAAACAGATGATTAAGGCTGCAGGGCTCTGAGCACAAACTCTCCAGAACAGAATAGGATTCACATTTGAGTCTAGATCACTTAGAATTCTGCTGTGGATTTATTCTCTTTACCATTGAGAAAGGTTTTTCAAAAGAGAGGCCAAGAGAGAAACAACAGAAGCTGCGAAAGGAGTAGTGTATGGGTTAAACGGAGGGCGGCGGAAGAGGGATTACATCCATTGTGCTTTCTGCTGCAACTCTAACTCCTCCAAATATGAGATAACCACCACCTGTGGGCTCAGAATAGCCTCACGTTCACCATGCATATCAAACACCCACTCACAGGCCGAGGATATTTCCTTCTCCCACCCTACATAGCAACACTAGGTAGCCTGTTACTGTTGCACAACCACAGCACGTAGCAACACAAGATAACAGATGCCTGCATTCTGAAACCTCAGGAAAGCTTCCTGCAAGGCCTGGAAGAGAGTTCTTTGCCATCACATATTCAAGTCAGTAACACCGGCTATCCACCAGCAGTGGACAACTTTTGATCTCTCCAGGGCTGCATCCTGCAGGAGTCAAAAGTTGGGGGGCAGATGAAGCTAAAGCAAGGAGAATTAAACGTGGATGGCTAATTCTTCCACTGCTTCTTTTAGCTCTGATTTCTTTCTCCTCACACAGCAGACTAGGGGAAGAGGGTACAATAGATTTTTTTTTTTTTCCCCAAAGTCGGGATTGCTGGCTTGCCAAGGGCTTTGGAAATTAAGCTGCAAGTGACTTGATAGTAAGTCAAGGGCCACATGTGGCTGTAGCAGCTCAGGTTGTTGACTTTTGATTTAGGCAGTGGCTAGGTCTTCTGCAATCACATATATTTCTTTAATGCTCCATAACACATTGATCCAGAAGAAGTCTTAGCAGAATTCTGCTTGTACAGGAAGAAAGGAGGGAGAAAGTGCTCTACAGACTTCTGAAAAGATGCTCTGGGGATTCTCCAGGTTAGTAAGAGAGGAAATGCAGGGGACTTCAAGGGAAGGGGGACTAAACCAAGACTGTCAAAACAGAAGAAGTCCTTCCACTCATGGAAAAGCTAGTGGAAATCAGTCCAGCTGCTCATTCATTCAGCTGTTATGGCCATAGTCATAGCACAGAAGCTATGCGCTCTCTCTCTCTCTCTCTCTCTCACACACACACACACATTCAAGTCATGTTTGGGCCTCCAAAAGTAGGGAAAACTCACTGTGTGAGAAC